AAAAAAATATTACCGTCTTGTATGAGCCATCCTTTGTGGATCGGAATGTCTAGGGAAGACTAGAATTTCCGAACACATAATATATGGACGTGCAGGATTGGATGAGGGCTGGTTCTCACCGGCATACCCCCATGTGGGAAGATTAGGTTGGCTAGGTCAACCTAATAATTAGAGAATGGCACATTAAAAGACTTAAAACCTGGAAGAGGGGCCCTGGAAGAAGGGTGTTGCCTGGAAGAGGGCTGAACCTTGGAGAAGGTTCGCGATCATAGGACATGGTCAAAATCTCCAAAAAAAGATCGGGTCTTGATGTTGAGACTTGATGATTCCAAAACCGTTTCGGATTATTTGTTCGAAGTTTGAGCAAGGTTGCTGTTAGGCATGACATCCAGGCCAAAGGAGTAAATGAAAGTGGCATGGTCAAAAATGACCGGTCACTTTTTAATGTTCTGGATTGGCAAGAAAAAGCGCATGGGAAAAGTTAACCTAGACAGAAATTTGAGGCAGGGCTGGAAAAATATTTTTTGACCGGTCACATTTTTGACTGGGCACCTGGACAGAAATTTGAGGCAGGGCTGGTGATGTAACGTGACCTAGCCATTGGGAGGTCAACCTAGACGTTTGTTACTTTTCAACCTGGAAGTTATCCGGATCAGAAGACAAACCAGGAACGAAGTAACCTGGACGTTTTCAACTCTGGAGACCAGGACATGAGATGACCTGGAAGTTTTCAAGCCTTGCATTTAAAATGCTCTTCAAAACTTTCAACCTAGCCTACTAACCAGGACATGAGATGCCCTGGACATTTGTTGAAGCTCAACTTAGCAGCAAGCCGGCCCATAAGACTGGCCAAAGCGTGAGGTGCCCTGGACGTTTTAGACCCGGACGCTACAAAAACACACCAGGCCTAGACGTTTTCCAAATAGAAAGACTGGGACGGTTGTAAAAGTTTCAATATGGACTACCAAACCTAGGCATATAACCATGCCTAGACCGGTTACTTTTGCTGACTTGGAAGCAAGCATGTACTAGAAAATTGTCAACCAAGCCGATTAGACCTGGATGTTTTAAAGACCAGGACGTGAGATGACTAGGACATTTCTTTAAACGATTCCTAAGGTTTATGGCCGGGTACTATTATTGACTTGGGAGTTCAACCCAGCATGGTAAAGAAAAGGCAAGTATAACCAAGCAACTTCAAAGATGACCAGGCAAGGAAAACAAACAGGACAACCATATAAGAAGAGAGGTTCAACCATGCATATTGAAGTAAATAGACCGATAAACGTAAAAGGCATGTCAAGAAAATTAAAGTTTCATACAAGTCAAAAGTAGGCCGGACATCCCCCAGGCCTTGGGAAAATTCAGAGTTTCTTCAAAAATAAAAAATACCCTAACCTACTGTAGTGGGAAAGGGGGGGTTGGCTCTTCCTTGTATAAAGCAGGCAACTTCATCTTGACCGGGTCAAATGAAGGATCCCTCTTCTGGAGCCTTGTATAGAGGAGGGACCTTTCCTCTTTTTGGCCACACTAGAATCCGTAAGACCCAATGTCAGTAATCATTCTCTTCCCCTCCGGCTCCTGATACATGACTTTGAAAAAGTCCATGGTGTCCTCCGGATTGGTGAGAATGGACCGGGCAACTTCAGTGTGGTGGCAGGCGGCCCAAGTCGCAGCATCATCAGGAAAAGACTTCTCCTTTGCCCGGGCAGATTCTTCCACTTGGGCCAACGCCTCCTCAAGTTCGGCAACCTTCCTCTTCCCTTCCTCCTCCAAACGAGCAGATCTTGCCCTCTCCTCCTCTAGCAAGGCCCTTTCCTCCTCAAGCTTGGCCCTCTCAATCCTCAGCTCTACCTCTAACCGTCTCTCCCTCTCGACCAGGTCATTTATTTCTGACTTGGCCGATTCAAGCAGGAGATTCAGTTGAGGGGACTGGTTGGTTGGTTCAATGAGTGACTGACCAATTTCTTCAGAAAGGACTCCAACCTGGAAAAGAAGTTTGTTAGTTAAAAAGCAAGCTAATAGTTAAACCGGGCGAAAAAGTAGAGATGGCATACCTTTTGGAGTCTTCTGGTCAATGCAAGGAAGGCCTCTTCAACCGACTCCCCCTCCAGATCAAGCGACCCGGTCTTCTTCTTCTTGCCCCCTTTGGAACTCTTATGGGACCCTTTCCTTTTGTGGCCCTTAGCACGGGAAGAAGATTGACCGGCCTCCTTAGGCTTGGATTCGATATGGGCCTGAAGAGAGTCAAACCGGTCATCCTCGAAGAGATGGGTGGCCGAAGGGGACTTCACCTTCTTATCTCGGATGAGATCGTCAAGGGAAGTGCACCGGGCA